CACTTTTTATTTCCGCCTTCCCTCAGGGTTGATAAGTCGTAAAAAGAACAAATCAATCACTCCTCCTTCGAAGTCTCTTATAATTATCTCACTCAGTAACCCTCTAATTTGAGTGGACATTAGGCCTCCTTTTGCGAGAACTAAAATAAAAAAAATTGCAAATATTTAAAGAAGGAAGAGTAGATACTATAAACCCTAAATCCTTCATTTACCTGAGTCCTCTTAGGGGATTTTATAGGGCTGAGGTTGGTCATGAGTAATTTTGTTTAAAAAAATATCCATTATGTTCTTTTATAATAACCGCTATGTTTATAATGTCCTAAAAAGAAATAAATATTTCTTTTATATAAGAATCAAGAAACTCTGACGTCAGCAATTATGAATTGTAATTTAGTAACTTTATATAGTCAAACTATGTATGTTTATATATAAGCTACTTTTTACCTTAAAATAGAACACTCGGATTAGAAGACAAAGCAATTAACGGAAAATAATTACAGGTCATTCGGATTAACGTACCTTAAAATTAAGGGATAATCATATGAACATCCCATAACTCATAAGAATCGTTGCAGGACCAAATGAAATGCAGCAACAGCAACAACTGTTTGGTTTGGTTTGGTTTGGTTAGACCGAAGTAAAACGTAACACTAATTGAATGGTTGATTGACTTTGTTTAACGGCATATCAGCCTCTATAGATTATTTAATGCCGAAATCTAAATGCTTTGTACGCGGTTTTAATGGCTTCAACTACAGATATTTGGTACATAATTTTATACTTTCAACGTAAACGTATGTTTTTAGATATATAGTTTGTAGATGATAAAAATGTATTATTAGATTTTTTTAAAATAATGTATTGCTTCTAATTTAACCATTTAAATATATTTTTGTACATTTTAATGTTTTATTGCTGGTCATTGTGCTATAAATTAAAAATTTTATTTTAAAATGTATTTTTGGTCATTCATGTATAAAATGTGTGTTTGTGTCACTCACTATAAATAATAAACAAGAAATGCTGTCCTTAAGGCCGCTTGAATGTCATAGTGTTTCACCAGAGATAGCTCTGTGGAACTACTATCTCATGAGCTGTAAAAGGTAACACGTTTGATTTTGGATAGCGGCATATCAACATCTCTATGGGGTATTTAATAACAAAATCTAAATATTTTGAATGCAGTTTTATGCCTTTAACTTCAAAATATGTTGTACACTTTTAAGTATAAACGTATGTTTTTTTTTAGATATATAGTTTGTAGATAATCTATAGTAGGTGTTATACGAGTTGGTATAAATCTATTTATTCAGGGTCAGACTCTACATTGATAGTTTCAGTATTTTGAAATAGTTTTCTCATGTTAGTTTCCTTGTAATACATATGACTTACAGGTGCTAAGTATTTCTATTCAGATGTGTTTTACAGTGAGTGCGTCTTGGTATGTTGTACGCGTTTGTTGATCTTCATCTTTCAGCAAGTATGAATGGGTCAGTTATATGTGCTGCTATCTACAGTCGAGAGCCAGTGTTACTTCATTCTTTCTCTTGTTCTAAACACCTGCCTCTATTCACCCAGAACCAATTTGATTGTGTGCAGCTTATTATTTGTTTAGTCGGTCCGGTGCTTCTATCTCTTCTGTTTAATGAAAGTGTTTATTTCCTTTTTTCAGGTCCGTATAAGGGATTCTGAAACTATTATTAGGGTTTCATTTTGACTCATCTTTGCGACTGAATTTGCTGGGGCATTTCCTCTAATTTATGTGGCTTCAGATGCAGTATAACACTATTTCTTTATTGTTGAATAAGGAATCCCGACTGCATAGCAATTCCACCAAAAGTCGGTTGTCGATTTGTTTCTTTATTATTATTTTATTGCTGTTTTGGCTGAAACGGAGTCAGAGATTATTACATATTATTTTTTTATTTTTGCTTCTAGATATAAGTGCAATATAAGTGGATGTGCATTTTTTATGAAATTGGTAAAGTTTTAGATTTATTTCCGGTATTTTTAGTCCAAGGTAGTATATTTGGTATAGTAATTTTCTCAGTTTAGCTCAGGTATGACACAAGGTCAAAAGTAAGGGGCACCCAATGTGAATCGAACTCATCATTCAGTAGAAATTGATCGAGCGACACAAGCTTGCTAATCATTATATCACGTCAAAGTGCCTAAATGATTTTTCTAAGGGTAGATGTGGCACAAGGACAAAAGTATGGAATACTGTGTGAGGATCGAACTCACTACTCAGTCGTAATAGTTCTAACGTAACAAGATTGGTAACTATTAAGCCACGTCGAGGTACCCTGGTATATTTGGTATGATTGTATTATGGATTCTAGATAGAAGTATTTCTACTTTTTGAATGATGGATTCAATCCGAAGTCCAAATGTTTTTTATGACGTTCTCTTATGGAAGAGGTTTCTGTATTTTGGATAGAATCGGTAGTGTATGCAGAATTTGAGAAGCTTGTTTTTGGTTTGGTATAGTATTGTATTGCTACTTTGTCCCGTCTAAGTTTTAGCGAGGTTTGTTTGCTTAGAAGCAAACAAACTTTCTAGAGATGTTCTAAATGATTAAAGTGCTAATCTCGAACCTCATTAAAGGTTGGGTTAAATATTTTGAGATATGATTTCCTTGCGGATTCGTTTATAAGGTTTCCATTGTCCAGATTGGATCGAATTAATCTTCTTTACAGTTTTAGCATCATTTCTCGATCTGATCCCCAAGTTTTGTGGGCCAGAAGAGTTGTGTTGCTTTATTGCATCTTGTTTTCAGATATTTTAATTGTGCTATGAACGTTAGTTTCTTGTCAAGATTTATTCCAGGAACCTGTAGACGTCTACCACTGGGTTTCTGTCTCTTCGAGTTGCAATCTTAGATTATTAAACATTTTGTTTTTATTACAAATCTTATTTTTGCGTTTTGAAAATCTAAAACCATTATTTATTGCTCATTTCTTGATCTTATTTGTGTATTACTACGAATCCCCTTTCTATGGTATTCATCTTTTTTAAATCGGTAACTAACAGTAAAATCATCTACGTACAAATATTCATTTATAGATCGAGTTCTTTTGAAATCTTACTTATTTTAAGACTGCAAAGATTTAATGACAGTATACTGCCTTAGGGCACTCCTTGTTATTTCTTTTGGATCGGACAGAATAGATCCATTGAGAGCCTGAAAGTTATATTCGAAGAATGTTATGAATTAATTCTGGTAATCTACCTTTCAGTACAAGGTCATGATCCCATATTTCCAGGGTGTTCCGTAAGCTTCTTCCAAGTCAATGAATGCAATAGCTAAATGCATAAATACATCCTTATAGAGCTTGTCGGAGTTAACTCCTCCTTAATTGTCCAAATTTTTCAATGGGGTCGCTCGATCTACACTATAAATACTGGGCGACTTCTTACCTCGTTCTCTTTTCTTCAGGCCTTGTGCCACATCCTACCTCGCGTGGAGGTGAGGTAAATTCTCTTTTTACTTTGTATTTCAGCAGATACATTTAACAAAAATGTGATCTCTCGCAGAGATCTGCGTTTTGCCCACTTGTGAGAAAACGCCATGAAACGCATATACACGTACGTACAATCATTCACCAAAATACAAACCGTTTACGTTGACACACTCACACAAATGTTAATGTCTATGTCCATTGTAAATTTTGTCGTTTAATACATATATCGGTTTATATATATATATATATATATATATATATATATATATATATATATATATCGGACTTTTTGTTTTTCTTCACACATCTTCGGTTGGACTCAACTTGAGTCCGCCATATTTTCGTAGTGGACCTTCTAGCAAGAATAAACGCACGTGTTCCTAATTTAACAACACGTAAAACCACGGGTCCGCTACAAGCTTTCCAAGCGAACTACGGGGTCCATTGTACTTCTGTCTTTGCGAAAGCCATATTGTTAGTCTGTAATTAATTTGCTAGTATCCAATTACCAAACTAACTTATTATTCTACATTCTCTCCAAGGATTTACATAAACATCTTGTGGGAGAAATCGGTCTATAATTTCCAGGTTCTGAATTGTCTTTTTCCTGGTTTTGGAATTGGTATGACAGTTATTTTTCGCCATTGTTCTGGCAACTTCCCTTTGACCGGATATCATTATATATTTTTATCAACAATGTTAATGTGTGCTTCGGGAGTTGTTTTGAGAAATCATAGTGGGTATCGTCCGGTCCTAAGGCTGAATTATGTGCACTTCTAATAGAGTCTTCTAATTCTGTCCGAGGAAATGGTTTGTTGTAATCTTCCAGATTCTTTCTTTTGATGCTGTTTCTAAATCAAGACGGAATCCGTTCATCTTCAAGTTTGTTTTCAATTTAGAGTTTGCATTCTCGCAAATTGGTTTCAACCTGTGAGCAAACGAAACCATTCCACTCCGGTATTTAACATTTGCCTGGTGGCAAAAGACATGGAGTGACATACCTTTCCTAAGAGTATTTGTACGAGAATGAAATCAGCCGGAATTTGAATTCGACTTTTAAATTCAATATTGCTGTCGTAGGAAATTGGGACTTTGATTCAGAATGTAATTTTTTAAAAGAAATACATTGTCTTTTCAGTGAGTAGACGTTCCTGGCTCTCCACAACTTCCATTTCTTTATTATCGATGAACTCATTTCTCGACAGTTTTGAATTCAACGCTTTCCATGTTTTAGACTGGCTAACGTTCAAGGCTAAATAGTCCAGTTTCACAAGTTATTTAATCCATGGTTGACAAAATAATTTTATCCAAAGGGCATTTAGCGTAGGTGAAGGCATCAGCCATTTGAACATCACAGATTGCAAATTCCATATTCCGCAAATAATCGTTGAGCTACCCGATTTAACGGACACTAATGACTGGACACTCGGATTAACGTAGATTAAAATTTAAAAAAAGACTCGAATTAAACGACATTCGTATAAAATGTTACTCGTATTATCGGTTGTTTTAATTCTCAAAAATAAAATTTGTTTACAGCCACATTAGTTAGAAACACCGGTTCCTGTACGTTCACAGAAGTTAAGCAACATTCAGCCTGGTCAGTACCTAGATGGGCAACCGTTTGTGAATTCCAGATGCTGTTACCTTGGAAATATAGGTAGGTTAATGAATAATGGCTCGGAATTGTTAATCCGAGTGCCACAACCATATTGGTTTGTTACATTCACTTACAGACAAATAACCTGTGGAAAGGTATGACTCCACCTCTTCTCCTCATCAAATCTGGACTGATTACTAAGACTTGTATAACTAAACCATTATGATCTTCAAAACAAAAAAATATTCTTTGAATGTAAAAATATTTTCTAGCTTTAAATAACCTGCAAAAGTTTGATAAGCCGTAGAAGACGAATCAACTAATCAATAAAATATAGTCTATTTTGATATTATTAAATATTCCCAATAAATGACTGCCTACAAGGACAGCAGTTTAGATTATATGTCTGTTCAAAAACGATAGGATGACTTTTTTTTATCGTAAGTTGACCAACAGCTTTTGGAGTTGTCATTAAGGACCATTTGGTAAAATTCTCATCATTTTTCTCTATGAAGAAAGCCACGAGTATGGTGGTTTTCTAAGCGGGGTTTAGATGTGGCATAAGGTCGAATGTAGGGAGCACCTAGTGGAGATCAAAGTCACTATTCAGTTGTAATTAATCTCGTGAATCAAGCTTGCTAACCATTACACCACATCGAAGTGTCCCTTACTACATGTTTGCCAGACCACTAAAATATTAACTCTTTCATGTCCAACGTCAATCGATATATATATGTTACAATACGCACTTTTTATTTCCGCCTTCCCTCAGGGTTGATAAGTCGTAAAAGAACAAATCAATCACTCCTCCTTCGAAGTCTCTTATAATTATCTCACTCAGTAACCCTCTAATTTGAGTGGACATTAGGCCTCCTTTTGCGAGAACTAAAATAAAAAAAATTGCAAATATTTAAAGAAGGAAGAGTAGATACTATAAACCCTAAATCCTTCATTTACCTGAGTCCTCTTAGGGGATTTTATAGGGCTGAGGTTGGTCACGTAATTTTGTTTAAAAAATATCCATTATGTTCTTTTATAATAACCGCTATGTTTATAATGTCTAAAAAGAAATAAATATTTCTTTTTATATAAGAATCAAGAAACTCTGACGTCAGCAATTATGAATTGTAATTTAGTAACTTTATATAGTCAAACTATGTATGTTTATATAAGCTACTTTTTACCTTAAAATAGAACACTCGGATTAGAAGACAAAGCAATTAACGGAAAATAATTACAGGTCATTCGGATTAACGTACCTTAAAATTAAGGGATAATCATATGAACATCCCATAACTCATAAGAATCGTTGCAGGACCAAATGAAATGCAGCAACAGCAACAACTGTTTGGTTTGGTTTGGTTTGGTTAGACCGAAGTAAAACGTAACACTAATTGAATGGTTGATTGATTTTTGTTTAACGGCATATCAGCCTCTATAGATTATTTAATGCCGAAATCTAAATGCTTTGTACGCGGTTTTAATGGCTTCAACTACAGATATTTGGTACATAATTTTATACTTTCAACGTAAACGTATGTTTTTAGATATATAGTTTGTAGATGATAAAAATGTATTATTAGATTTTTTTAAAATAATGTATTGCTTCTAATTTAACCATTTAAATATATTTTTGTACATTTTAATGTTTTATTGCTGGTCATTGTGCTATAAATTAAAAATTTTATTTTAAAATGTATTTTTGGTCATTCATGTATAAAATGTGTGTTTGTGTCACTCACTATAAATAATAAACAAGAGAAATGCTGTCCTTAAGGCCGCTTGAATGTCATAGTGTTTCACCAGAGATAGCTCTGTGGAACTACTATCTCGCGAGCTGTAAAAGGTAACACGTTTGATTTTGGATAGCGGCATATCAACATCTCTATGGGGTATTTAATAACAAAATCTAAATATTTTGAATGCAGTTTTATGCCTTTAACTACAAATATGTTGTACACTTTAAGTATAAACATATGTTTTTTTTTAGATATATAGTTTGTAGATAATCTATAGTAGGTGTTATACGAGTTGGTATAAATCTATTTATTCAGGGTCAGACTCTACATTGATAGTTTCAGTATTTTGAAATAGTTTTCTCATGTTAGTTTCCTTGTAATACATATGACTTACAGGTGCTAAGTATTTCTATTCAGATGTGTTTTACAGTGAGTGCGTCTTGGTATGTTGTACGCGTTTGTTGATCTTCATCTTTCAGCAAGTATGAATGGGTCAGTTATATGTGCTGCTATCTACAGTCGAGAGTAGTGTTACTTCATTCTTTCTCTTGTTCTAAACACCTGCCTCTATTCACCCAGAACCAATTTGATTGTGTGCAGCTTATTATTTGTTTAGTCAGTCCGGTGCTTCTATCTCTTCTGTTTAATGAAAGTGTTTATTTCCTTTTTCAGGTCCGTATAAGGGATTCTGAAACTATTATTAAGGGTTTCATTTTGACTCATCTTTGCGACTGAATTTGCTGGGGCATTTCCTCTAATTTATGTGGCTTCAGATGCAGTATAACACTATTTCTTTATTGTTGAATAAGAATCCTGACTGCATAGCAATTCCACCAAAAGTCGGTTGTCTATTTGTTTCTTTATTATTATTTTATTGCTGTTTTGGCTGAAACGGAGTCAGAGATTATTACATATTATTTTTTATTTTTGCTTCTAGATATAAGTGCAATATAAGTGGATGTGCATTTTTTTGAAATTGGTAAAGTTTTAGATTTATTTCCGGTATTTTAGTCCAAGGTAGTATATTTGGTATAGTAATTTTCTCAGTTTAGCTCAGGTATGACACAAGGTCAAAAGTAAGGGCACCCAATGAATCGAACTCATCATTCAGTAGAAATTGATCGAGCGACACAAGCTTGCTAATCATTATATCACGTCAAAGTGCCTAAATGATTTTTCTAAGGGTAGATGTGGCACAAGGACAAAAGTATGGATTACTGTGTGAGGATCGAACTCACTACTCAGTCGTAATAGTTCTAACGTAACAAGATTGGTAACTATTAAGCCACGTCGAGGTACCCTGGTATATTTGGTATGATTGTATTATGGATTCTAGATAGAAGTATTTCTACTTTTTGAATGATGGATTCAATCCGAAGTCCAAATGTTTTTTTATGACGTTCTCTTATGGAAGAGGTTTCTGTATTTTGGATAGAATCGGTAGTGTATGCAGAATTTGAGAAGCTTGTTTTTTGGTTTGGTATAGTATTGTATTGCTACTTTGTCCCGTCTAAGTTTTTAGCGAGGTTTGTTTGCTTAGAAGCAAACAAACTTTCTAGAGATGTTCTAAATGATTAAAGTGCTAATCTCGAACCTCATTAAAGGTTGGGTTAAATTTTTGAGATATGATTTCCTTGCGGATTCGTTTATAAGGTTTCCATTGTCCAGATTGGATCGAATTAATCTTCTTTACAGTTTTAGCATCATTTCTCGATCTGATCCCCAAGTTTTGTGGGCCAGAAGAGTTGTGTTGCTTTATTGCATCTTGTTTTCAGATATTTTAATTGTGCTATGAACGTTAGTTTCTTGTCAAGATTTATTCCCAGGAACCTGTAGACGTCTACCACTGGGTTTCTGTCTCTTCGAGTTGCAATCTTAGATTATTAAACATTTTGTTTTTATTACAAATCTTATTTTGCGTTTTGAAAATCTAAAACCATTATTTATTGCTCATTTCTTGATCTTATTTGTGTATTACTACGAATCCCTTTCTATGGTATTCATCTTTTTTAAATCGGTAACTAACAGTAAAATCATCTACGTACAAATATTCATTTATAGATCGAGTTCTTTTGAAATCTTACTTATTTTAAGACTGCAAAGATTTAATGACAGTATACTGCCTTAGGGCACTCCTTGTTATTTCTTTTGGATCGGACAGAATAGATCCATTGAGAGCCTGAAAAGTTATATTCGAAAGAATGTTATGAATTAATTCTGGTAATCTACCTTTCAGTACAAGGTCATGATCCCATATTTCCAGGGTGTTCCGTAAGCTTCTTCCAAGTCAATGAATGCAATAGCTAAATGCATAAATACATCCCTTATAGAGCTTGTCGGAGTTAACTCCTCCTTAATTGTCCAAATTTTTCAATGGGGGTCGCTCGATCTACACTATAAATACTGGGCGACTTCTTACCTCGTTCTCTTTTCTTCAGGCCTTGTGCCACATCCTACCTCGCGTGGAGGTGAGGTAAATTCTCTTTTTACTTTGTATTTCAGCAGACACATTTAACAAAAATGTGATCTCGCAGAGATCTGCGTTTTTTTTTTGTGAGAAAACGCCATGAAACGCATATACACGTACGTACAATCATTCACCAAAATACAAACCGTTTACGTTGACACACTCACACAAATGTTAATGTCTATGTCCATTGTAAATTTTGTCGTTTAATACATATATCGGTTTATATATATATATATATATATATATATATATATATATCGGACTTTTGTTTTTCTTCACACATCTTCGGTTGGACTCAACTTGAGTCCGCCATATTTTCGTAGTGGACCTTCTAGCAAGAATAAACGCACGTGTTCCTAATTTAACAACACGTAAAACCACGGGTCCGCTATAAGCATTCCAAGCGAACTACGGGGTCCATTGTACTTCTGTCTTTGCGAAAGCCATATTGTTAGTCTGTAATTAATTTGCTAGTATCCAATTACCAAACTAACTTATTATTCTACATTCTCTCCAAGGATTTACATAAACATCTTGTGGGAGAAATCGGTCTATAATTTCCAGGTTCTGAATTGTCTTTTTTTCCTGGTTTTTGGAATTGGTATGACAGTTATTTTTCGCCATTGTTCTGGCAACTTCCCTTTGACCGGATATCATTATATATTTTTATCAACAATGTTAATGTGTGCTTCGGGAGTTGTTTTGAGAAATCATAGTGGGTATCGTCCGGTCCTAAGGCTGAATTATGTGCACTTTAATAGAGTCTTCTAATTCTGTCCGAGGAAATGGTTTGTTGTAATCTTCCAGATTCTTTCTTTTGATGCTGTTTCTAAATC